CAGGCCACCCGTTCTTCCATGTCGCTGACAGGTATCGCAGGTACGGCAGTAGCGAGCTACCGATTGGGACATCCCAGGCCAATAGAAGGCCTGGGCCAACCTCTTTTTCGGTCCGTAGCTTTCCCTGATGCCCAGCCATGGGAATATCATGAGCAAGGTGTAGCAGTTGGGTCCAGAATTGTTGGGGAACTTTCAGCTGTTTAGCCACGGTCTGAGGCCCCCCTTCGGCATCGGTCTCCACCACTCGGTACAGCAACCCATTTTCCTGCACTATCCTTTCGCCGGTCCCCGGACCAGTCAGCCCTGCTCAGGCCCAGAAGCTTGTGTCGGGGATCGCCGCAGCGCTGGGCTCGGCCCAGGCGCAGCGCACCGCCCTGTGCAGGGACGCGGGCACTGGGACCTGGCCAACCGCGGCAATCAAGTTCGCGCATGCACGGTAGAGACCGCGGGCGTGCTCTTGGCACCAATGACAGCGCAGGGCGGGATATTTAAATGGCCCTGAGTTGTCATTCAGTGCCTTCTGGTCTCCTTGTATCCTGTATCTTGTGAACCTGTGAATAACTGAGTTGCTGACCTGGATTGTGCCCTGACCTTGCTGTTTTCTCCTGTCCTGACCCTTGCTTGCCTGACCTCTCTCCTGGATGCCCCCTATTGGACCTGACCTGCTGTTGTTGACCTGGCGTGTGACCCGACTACTCTCTGCCCGCTGCTTTGTACCGCACCGTCCCCTATAGTTACCGACCCGGCCTGCCTGACCTCGCACTCGCTCAGCCATCTATCCATCCATCCCGTCGGGATCTCCCAGCCTTCTCACATTAGGCTCTTCCTCTGCGGGAGCCCCTGGCGGATACCCCTATCAGTGGTGAGTGTGCCCAGTAACTGCGACCTGCTTTCAGAGCACTACAAGTCCATCCCCACCATCAGGGGCCCTGGTGAACAAGTGCACTGGGACTTAGATTCCGCACGCTGGAATCACCTCACCGGTGGGTTGCTAAGGTACCGCTGGGTGGTCCCTTACAGCTTGTCAGAGTAGGGTCGGTGGCTAAGTCCCCTTGAAACTTGTCCCAGTCCCATGTCACCCCAGTATTATCAGCAGTCAAAGTTGAGTCACTCACCGCGGAAGCAGAGGTCTGTCCACATGCTGGGGTGACTCCTTCCTCTCAGCGGTTTCCCAGCAGACCTAACTTCATGTGACGGCTCCCACAAAAGTGACATTGAAGATCGCCCACATCATTCCCAAGAACCACATCTGAAGTTAGTCCTCCCATTACACCCACGTTGCAGCGTTTAGGCCCCAAGCTATAGTCCAGATTGACAGTAGCAAGAGGGATGAAGCATTTGGTGCCCCCTGCTAGCTGGATCACTATCCCAGGGCCAGGCTGTACAGCGTCAGGGTGCACCACTCGGGGGTCCACAATGGTGAGGAAGGCTCCTGAGTTTCGGAAGCCTACCGCCTTTTGTCCATCCGCAGTGACCTCTTGCAAGTGCTTTCCTTGGAGGCTCTGGGTAGGGGCCACCACCGGCTGTAGGCCAAAGACTGCTGGAGGGGTGTCCTTGTCTGCAGGAGCAAGATCCCAGTCTGAAGGGGGTGGTGGCAAGTCCTTGGGAGCCTGGTACAGATCCACAGAATTTACTGGCCGGGGCAAGCTAGGCCTGAGAGTCTGTTTTTTGGCGGGGCAGCTGGCCTGGTAGTGATAAAAATAATACACCTTGTATGGAGGTGTGCCTTTAATAATTCATATGGTAAAAAAATAAATCTCCAGCCTGTGGCTTTAGGAAGCCAGGTTCCAAGATGGACGGCCCGTCGCTCAGAGGGAAGCAGTGGAGTAGAATGCCTGTCAGTGCAGGGACCACGTGTACCCGACGTCCCAGCGTCCTGGATGACGTCACCACGATGTGGAGAGACGGAGGGGGGGAACTCTTGCTTGTCCCAACTGGCCTCTTCCTTCTAAAGCTGCGGCTCCAGCAAGAGTTCCCCCCCTTCCGTCTCTCCACATCGTGGTGATGTCATCCAGGTCGCTGGGACGTCGGGTACAGGTGGTCCCTGCACTGACAGGCATTCTACTCCACTGCTTCCCTCTGAGCAGACGGGCCGTCCATCTTGGAACCTGGCTTCCTAAAGCCACAGGCTGGTGATTTATTTTTTTACCATATGAATTATTAAAGGCACACCTCCATACAAGGTGTATTATTTTTATCACAAAACTACACAGCGCCTGGCTCCTGCTTATACCTCCCACAAACCAATGTGTTTTTTTACCATGGCAGCAGTGAGTTTTTTCTCCACCAATCATAGTTGACATATACCATTCACTTATTTCCTTTGGGACACATCTGTGCGCTTTTATCCAGACTGTTCTTCCTGGTAGTGACCAATCTGTCCACAGCCAAAGCACCGCCTATCTAAGGCAGGTCTGGGGCCCCGTTGTGAGTTGGCTGAACGAGGTGGGAGTAGGGGCTGTAGTGCTGGTACTGTTTGTGGGGCCATTCGGCGATAGGGAGGCGTGTAGGGCACCGGTGTAGGATGGGGCATCCTGGCCGCTTGGGGTGCCTCGACAGCAGGCTTCTTCCATTGCGGGGGTTAATGAGGAGAGCCTCATCCGCCAAGGCTGCAGCTTCTTCTAGGGTGGCATGTTTCGCTCACGCACCCACTGTCGGAGCTCGGGGGGGGGGGCACTTGAAAAGGAATTGTTCCTTCAGGATGGCCTGGATGATCTGCTCAGGGGAGGTTGCCTTCTCCCCTTCCAGCCACCGGCGGCAGTCTACCGACAACTTGTGCACAAACATTTGAAGGAGGCCTCTCCGGAGTGTAGAACTGGGCCCGATATGACTCTGAGGAGACCGCGTATTAGTCCAGTATGGCCCTTTTTATCTCCTCATAGTTCCGTCTCTTGAGGGGGTCCATCATTTGGTAGGCTTCATCAGCCCCTCCGTCAAGCAGCCCTACCACATGGCGAGTCCAGTCTGTGGGTGGGACCTGCAGTAGTTCGCACTGACATTCAAAGTCCTGGAAGAACCCATCCACATCTCCGATGTGCTCTTGGTAGGGCTTAAAGTCCTTCCTGGATATTCTCTGGGCCTCCCGTGCCACAGGGACAGCCACAGGAGCAGCTGCTTGATTCTTTGCAGCTTCCCACTCTGTTTGTCTCTTTTGAGCCTTTTCCATGGCCGCCAAGCTTTCTATCTAGGGTGGCATCCTTCCCCAGAATGGCCATCTCTTCCTCGTACCAGATGACCCAAGGGCTCTTTCCATTTGTGCTTTGAAGCTCTGGTCCATCTCCTCTCGGGACCGCTTGTTCCTTGTCTGTGCCCACCTCTTCCCGTTACTGTTGGCTGGCTTCCTCCAGCATCCGGACCAGCTGATCTTTGTTAAGTCCCTTGTAGTTGAGGCCCAAAGTTCTGGCCTTTTCTTGTAAGCTGATTGCCGTCCAGTGTCGATATTCCGGGGCCACCGCTTCCATTGTATGCAGACTCTCTCATCTGCCATCTCGAGTGCTCTCGTCCCGCCGCTGCCAACCAGTTGTCAAGAGAACCACAGAGCACACAGAGACAGATTGCATGGAACCCAATGTGTGGGCTTTTATTGGGGAGGTTTTTGGAGCACAGGCAACAGTTCCTTTAGTCCACAGATCCACACCAGATACAGTAACACAATACAGTTCTCTGGAAGGCAATATGGAGCAACAGGGGTATGGTAATCCACAGGGTTCAGTCTTTTGGCAGCACGGGGTTAGTCCACTTACTGGATGCGGGGAGCCGGACACAGAGGGCTACAGTCCACACCGGCAACACAGGGTTAATCCACACAGGCAGCTCCAGGCAGGGATGGGTTAAGTCCATCCGGCTCACGGGCAACAAAGAGTTAAATCCAGGCAGGCAGGGGAAATGTCCGGCCCGCAGGCTCACAGAGAGGGAACAAGAGGGAAAGTCCAGTCTCGCAGGCAGGGAACAAGAGGTAAGTCCAGGCAGCAGAGAGTTCACCCCACACCGGAGAGGGATCCAGCAGCAGACGGACAGTCCAGTCAGCCATGGAGATGAGGAGGAGGACGGGGGATGGTCATAAGAGAAGCTGGCACTCAGCACAGTCTTCTCTCACACACACAGCCAGGAGAACAGAAGGGTTTTTTTTTTCCTGCTCACCCTTAAGTATATAGCTGGGCGCCCTGTTGGTAGCCGGAGACTTCCTGTCGGGTTACCATGGCAACGGGCCCTGTCTCCCAGGTCTCCGGACCAGCCCAGGGAGCCCGGGAAGATGTGCATGAGGGGGAAGGGAGGAGGGGGCCTGTTTGTGGATTCCTTCAGCAGGGGGCCAGACTGCAAGCAAGGGGGTGAGGGGCTGCTGAGGGTTGCCTGTGTAAGGGACACGGAGGACTTGAAGTCCCAGCATGGACGGGACAGAAGAGTGAGGGGTTGCTGAGGGGTGGGGGTGGGGGGGGTCAGACAGCAAGCCTAGAGGATGGGGGGGAAGGACCAGCTCTGTGACATCGGGTTTTTTCCAATATGGGCTCAAAGCTTATAATGTTTAATTACATAGTTACAAGAAAAGCAAACTTTTGGAGTCTCACAGGACCCCTTCATCAAGAATGGGATGTGTCACATGTCTGATGAAGGGGTCCTGCGAGACTCCAAAAGTTTGCTTTTCTTGTAACTATGTAATTACATGTTAATAGCTTCCGACCCACATTGGAGAAACCCGGTGTGCTGGTGATGTTTCTGTTCCTTGATGTATCACGGTTCCAGCCGCTGGTCCCTGCAGCCCCCACTATACATACAGTCGTTGTACAATGCAGGAACGTGTGCGATGGGATTGTGTAACTATGACACCGGAATATGACACATAACTGCAGGACATTTGCAGGATATCCAATAACTCAGAGCAACTATCCATCTCCCCGACATCATTCTCCTTGCCTGAAAGGTGACATCTGACAGAGGAGACTGACAACGTAAACTCATTACAGTTTCTTTAAACTTTCAATACATTTTTCTACATTTTTTAGGAAATTTGCTGCCGCTAAACCAGGAGGTGGAATGGGTTGAGGACTATAATAAAAATGTGGACAGAGTAATGGCTGAATTCAATAATGAGGACAGTTTCCATGATCTAATTGTCCCGGTTCTTATACACAGGTAAGAACTAAAAACATACTATGGGGTGTTTGTGACAGAGATAAAGTGTTACTGAACCCACAACAGTTCAATCAGTCTGTATATGCAGCAAAGCATGCTGGTTATACTCATTGTGAGACCTGATATAGTGAATGCGGGGTCCGGGGAGAGCGGATATAGTGAATGCGGGGTCCAGGGAGAACGGATATAGTGAATGCGGGGTCTGGGGAGAGCGGATATAGTGAATGCAGGATCCAGGAAGAGCGGATATAGTGAATGCGGGGTCCAGGGGGGGGCGGATATAGTGAATGCGGGGTCCGGGGAGAGTGGATATAGTGAATGCGGGGTCCGGGGAGAGCGGATATAGTGAATGCGGGGTCCGGGGAGAGCGGATATAGTGAATGCAGGGTCCGGGGAGAGCGGATATAGTGAATGCGGGGGTCCGGGGAGAGCGGATATAGTGAATGCAGGGTCCGGGGAGAGTGGATATAGTGAATGCAGGGTCCGGGGAGAGCGGATATCGTGAATGTGGGGCCCGGGAGCAAGGATATAGTGAATGCAGGGTCCGGGAGAGAGCGGATATAGTGAATGCAGGGTCAGGGAAGAGCGGATATAGTGAATGCGGGGTCCGGGGAGAGCGGATATAGTGAATGCGGGGTCCGGGGAGAGCGGATATAGTGAATGCGGGGTCCGGGGAGAGCGGATATAATGAATGCAAAGTCCGGGGAGAGCGGATATAGTGAATGCAGGGTCCAGAGGAGAGCAGATATAGTGAATGCGGGGTCCGGGGGAGAGTGGATATAGTGAATGCGGGGTCTGGGAAGTGCTGGATATAGTGAATGCGGGGTCTGGGAGAGCGGATACAGTGAATGCAGGGTTTGGGGAGAGCGGATATAGTGAATGCGGGGTCCAGGGAGAGCAGATATAGTGAATACAGGGTTCGGGGAGAGCGGATATAGTGAATGCAGGGTCCGGGGAGAGCGGATATAGTGAATGCAGGGTCCGGGGAGAGCAGATATAGTGAATACGGGGTTCGGGGAGAGCGGATATAGTGAATGCAGGGTCCGGGGAGAGCGGATATAGTGAATGCAGGGTCCGGGGAGAGCGGATATAGTGAATGCGGGGTCCGGGGAGAGCGGATATAGTGAATGCGGGGTCCGGGGAGAGCGGATATAGTGAATGCGGGGTCCGGGGAGAGCGGATATAGTGAATACGGGGTCCGGGGGGAGAGCGGATATAGTGAATGCGGGGTCCGGGGGAGAGCGGATATAGTGAATGCAGGGTCCAGGTAGAGCGGATATAGTGAATGCGGGGTCCGGGGAGAGCGGATATAGTGAATGCGGGGTCCGGGGAGAGTGGATATAGTGAATGCGGGGTCCGGGGAGAGTGGATATAGTGAATGCGGGGTTCGGGGAGAGGGGATATAGTGAATGCGGGGTCCGGGGAGAGCGGATATAGTGAATGCAGGGTCCGGGGAGAGCAGATATAGTGAATGCAGGGTCCGGGGTGGAGAGCAGATATAGTGAATGCGGGGTCCGGGGAGAGCAGATATAGTGAATGCAGGGTCCGGGGAGAGCAGATATAGTGAATGCAGGGTCCGTGGAGAGCAGATATAGTGAATGCGGGGTCCGGGGAGAGCGGATATAGTGAATGCAGGGTCCGGGGAGAGAGCGGATATAGTGAATGCGGGGTCCGGGGGAGAGCGGATATAGTGAATGCGGGGGTCGGGGAGAGCGGATATAGTGAATGCAGGGTCCGGGGAGAGCGGTATAGTGAATGCAGGGTCCGGGGAGAGGGGATATAGTGAATGCGGGGTCCGGGGAGAGAGGATATAGTGAATGCAGAGTTTGGGGTTTAGTACCAGTTTTAATTCAGACGTCTAACATGGATTGAGGTCATATTAGAGGCATTTCCTGCAATGAAGTCTCTCAGTCTTTGATGAAAAAAACATTAGCAATGAATATAGTTCACATGTAATGGATTTATAACAAATATTTTTTCTCTCAGTGTAAATAATGATATCCAGAATGAAGTTGGGTTGTACAGACAAATACTGAACACTGCCCGAGAACTAACTGGTTAGTATTTGGGGTATTTTTGTCATGTGGTTGTTTTTCCTCTCCTCTTTGTTCATGTCATGGTATTCTCTCCTCTCTCTATCTCCCAGACATTCCATGTGTGTTTTTGAAGGTATATGGGCTATATGTAACAGAAAAATATCCTCCTGCGCTTATATGGTAAATAATACACTTAACTAGAAAGCAGCCAGCATCTCTCCCATACCAGATAAGGACAATAGTAAAAAACACATATAAAAGTGATGCAGCGCTAAAACTAATAATAAAAAATACTCCAGAGATATAGGAAGTGATATACATAAAATAATGATTTAGCAAACGGGGTAACAAATGACCCAAATCCACATGGGGATATGAGAGAGGCAGTGACCCCTGGTACCCGAAGGGTACTCAATAAAGACCAGGTGAATATCTGCAGGACAAACCAAACAGATAATAATGGCTTTGTGCAATAAATGAAGTGTCCACAGTTCATACAAATGCTTTTATTTCAAGACGTGCAGGTGAATCACAGCACACTCCAAACGTGATCCCAAGTGGGATCCCAAGTTCGTCCTGACGAAGTCACGAGTTACGTGACGCAACGCGTCGACGGCAATAGCGTGGTGACGTACTTCCGGCGTGACGCCATTTTGGAACACCTTTTTGATCATGCTGTACACCCAGCTTACCACAATGATCTGGATACAGGCTGCTGCTATGTGAGTGTATTTACCCCCTTTTTTTTGGCTTGTTGTTACTGTGCCATTAAAAGCAGTAATACACTATGAGGATTGTGTTCTTTTTCTATACTTATGAGTATATGAGATTTGACACCTAAGGAGGGTGTATTTCGTTTGCCCACTGGTCCGACTACTGTGTATGTGATGATTGCCCATACTATCCTATCTGAGGAACCATCGGTTTGAGGGATCCAGAGATCTACATTTGCTTTGTGGCCCTTTGGGGTCGTAGAGTGGAGGTGAGAGGCCACTGTAGCCAGACTGCCTGGGATCATGTTTGGAGTGTGCTGTGATTCACCTGCACGTCTTGAAATAACAGCATTTGTATGAACTGTGGACACTTCATTTATTGCACAAAGCCATTATTATCTGTTTGGTTTGTCCTGCAGATATTCACCTGGTCTTTATTGAGTACCCTTCGGGTACCAGGGGTCACTGCCTCTCTCATATCCCCATGTGGATTTGGGTCATTTGTTACCCCGTTTGCTAAATCATTATTTTATGTATATCACTTCCTTTATCTCTGGAGTATTTTTATTATTAGTTTTAGCGCTGCATCACTTTTATATATGTATATGGGCTATATGAAAACTGCGTGATCGTAATGGGAATTTCTATTTTTTCAGCAAAAATTTCCCAGTGTCTTTGTCAATCTCTACTCACATCACCATAGCTCAGTCCAAAATTTTTATACTTTCGTAAAGTATTTTAGTCTTTTTTATTCTTTACTTTTCTATTATTGTATAATCTATTCTAATGTATTCTTTTTTAATTCATTCTATTCAAAATTTGAATTTCGGAAGGCAATTATATACTTTCTTTTTTTTATTCTATTCTATTATTTTTCCATTCTATTCTTTTCTATTCTATTCTAATGGATTCTATTCTGTTCCTTTAGTTGCTATTAAATTTTATTCTGTTTTACTCTATTTTTTTCTATTCTTTAATTTTCTATTCTATGTTTTTCTATTCTATTTTCATTGATTCTATTCCTTTATTTTCTGACCTTTTTTTTTATTCTACTCTTGTTTTCAAATTCAAATGGAATTTTGGCTGAATTTTGTTTCATTATTTCAGATTTGTGTAAATTTGTTACTATTGGAATTTGGAATTCAGATACACCCAAAAAATGTAAAATGTATTAGTATTGTTATTATTATTATTATTATTATTATACAGGATTTATGTAGCATCAACAGTTTGCTCAGCATTTTACAATATAACAGCAGACAATGCAGCCCGAATATGGATTCGGATCAAAAAGAACTGCACATGTCTATCTCCTCTCTGTCTATGTAATGACTACCTTTCCTCTGTCTATCTCCTCTCTGTCTATGTAATGACTACCTTTCCTCTGTCTATCTCCTCTCTGTCTATGTAATGACTACCTTTCCTCTGTCTATCTCCCCCTTTACTCTGTCTGTATAATGACCGCCTTTCCTTTGTCTATCTCCTCCTCTCCTCTGTCTGTATAATGACTTCCTTTCCTCTATCTCCTCCTCTCTCCTCTGTCTATATAATGACTGTGTCATGGAGCTAGCCCCTCACTTTTCTGTCCCGTCTATGCTGGGACTTCTAGTCCTCCGTGTCACTGACACAGGCAGCCCTCAGCAGCCCCTCACCCCCCTTCCCCTGCAGTCTGGCCCCCTGCTCCTCTTTCTATATAATGACTGCCTTTCCTCTGTCTATCCCCTCCTCTCCTCTGTCTGTATAATGACTGCCTTTCCTCTGTCTATCTCCTTCTCTCCTCTTTGTCTGTAGAATGACCGCCTTTCCTCTGTCTATCTCCTTCTCTCCTCTTTGTCTGTAGAATGACCGCCTTTCCTCTGTCTATCTCCTACTTCTCCTCTGTCTGTATAATGACCGCCTTTCCTCTGTCTATCTCCTCTCTCCTCTGTCTGTATAATGACCGCCTTTCCTCTGTCTATCTCCTCTCTCCTCTTTGTCTGTATAATGACCACCTTTCCTCTGTCTATCTCCTCTCCTCTGTCTGTATAATGACCGCCTTTCCTCTGTCTATCTCCTCCTCCTCTCCTCTGTCTGTATAATGACCGCCTTTCCTCTGTCTATCTCCTCTCTCCTCTTTGTCTGTATAATGACCGCCTTTCCTCTGTCTATCTCCTCTCTCCTCTTTGTCTGTATAATGACCGTTTTTCCTCTTT